GAATTTAACCACACATAGGGATTTAACCTTAAGAATAGGGATTTAACCATGAACAAATAGGGAATTAACCGTCAAAAAATGTAAAGCAATAGTAAATTTACACACCACTTCGAGAATTCGAGAATTTCTATTGATGCCGTGGTGACGACATTAAATTTACTCATATGAATCTCATATGTATGTGTATATATATATACATACATATATTATTATATATATATAACCTTATAACTATATTATGGAGACATTAATACATACAGTCATATAGTTCATATCTGCATGATCGAAACAAGGACAAATAAATGCTGATTTGACACAGTTCTGCTTTGTGAGTGTATTTTCTGCGAATGAGCGCAATTGCACCACTCTTGGGATTATCCCACTTTGTGCGTTTGGAAGCAAACATTCTGAGCGTATTTTCCGGGAACATTGGCATAAATACACGATAAAAAAGCGTAAGTACATGTGTATTAGGAGACATCAGAGTGCAGTTGTCAGCAAGACATTGTCCCAGTTGCAATCTCCATTTTAGATATCTGAAGATATATCATATATCATCTACTGCAGATAAGGTGTTTTTTTCTACTCAATTGAGTGGAGTTTATCCAAGTTTGTGCAGTATGAAACCCGATTTTTCGGGCTCAATGCGCCGCTGAAAACATCTCCTGATTCTTGGAGTTCCTCAAGCAGAAAAATGAAAGGTGCTAAGCTATGAGATTCAATGTCTTGGATCTTTCCGACATCAATATTATCCGCCGACCCCGGCCTTGGCCAAGGCAGGGGCGGCGCCTGGGACCACCGCAGGTGTGGAACTTCTCCTTCTTAGCTTGCCAAGGTCAAACGCATCTCACAGCCAGCAAGCTGCCCCAAGGCCACATCGCGTAAACATTCTCCTGGCATGCTTCATCCTCCAGTTCAGACTTCCCCTTTACCTTGCGAAGACTACGTCTTACGCACGGGAGGCAAGACACACCATCCCCAAAATATGAAAACAACATTCCATGAACAGCCACGGAAGTCCCTGATATCAATACATTCGATTCATTGTCCCACAATCTATGTTTACGCTACGTAGACCTTCAAAAACTCTATAATATTTGCACGTTTGGACTACTGCACATGTGGGCCGTTTTGACCTTTCCCCGCCGCTCCGCCCTGACAAGGGGGTCGGCGGCACCACTTTGGTGCCAACTCGAAGTTATAAGTGGGTTATAACCTAGGGTTATATCCCAGTTACTAAGTCATAACTTCTTAGCTAACTTTTTGTAACTTTTTTTTGCTATAAAAAAAAGTGTCTTGAAAAGTGATCAAATTTTGATCTTTTTGATGATTTTGAGTGTTTGCTGTTTGAAGCGTTTTTAACTGCTAAAAAAAATGCCAAATGGAGCGGTTTTCAAACCGCTAAAAGCCATTTTTGTTGGAACAGCCGTTTTCAGCATGTCAAATGCCCCGGCCGATGTGCCGCTTTTGCCGACCAGGCCAGGTTTGTTGTCTTTCACGAGTGAACAATTCAAAGTGATTTGGTTGAAATGGATGTCCTTGCATGCAGGGAATCTCGTCCTCTCGATGAGCTCAAGTTCGTGCTGGTGAAGTGCGAGTGGGTCTTGGAGAGCGGTCTTTTGAAGTGGAGAAGCCACAGCATTACTGGCAAGGTGAAAGAGTGACTTGGCACGATTTTGCACGTGCAACTTATATTTGGCAATGTTCTCTTCAGCATGCAACCTCAAGATCATGATTGCGAGGCGAAATTTCGATGAGCTGGTTCAGCAGTGGCCTGTGAATGACGATGAGGTGGAGATGATCCGTCGTCATCTCTTGCAGCTTGTGACAGAGAACGGCCAGACGTAATAGATGACCTGCATTTGTTCAAAATGAAGATTATACGTTGCTGGATGCGGGAACTAAAAATAATATGCCGCTGTGGAAAAAGGGCATGGAAGCGGTGGCATGCCGCTGCATGAAGCGGTTTCAACCGCTGAGTTGCAGGGGAGCGGTGTCAACCGCTGACTGAGCATGGAAGCGGTTTCAACCGCTGAGTTGCATGGGAGCGGTGTCAACCGCTGACTCAACATGGAAGCGGTTTCAACCGCTGAGTTGCATGGGAGCGGTGCATGTGATCTCTTTGAATTGTTTAACTCGCCCTACCGGAACCTCCTCGAAGAGGTCACACCGTTGGCCGGGTGTGGGGCTGGAACCTTGCCTTGGGGCCAACGCACCACCTGTAGCAATAAAGCAGGTGGTGTATGAGAGCAGGATGCATGGGCTAACGTGCCTGCTCGGGCAAACCCGGATACGAAACTTGGAGCATTGCTGCATGGGTACCCGCGGCAATGCTTCCATTTTTCAGAACCGGGGGTTCTGAGAACGGGAGGCCATGACGACACATGGAAGCGGTCTCAACCGCTGAGTTGCATGGGAGCGGTTGCAACCGCTGACTGAACATGGAAACGGTTTCAACCGCTCAGTTGCATGGGTGCGGTGTCAACCGCTGACTCAACATGGAAGCGGTATATGCATCAACCGCTGAGTTGCATGGGAGCGGTGTCAACCGCTGACTCAACATGGAAGCGGTACATCAACCGCTGAGTTGCATGGGAGCGGTGTCAACCGCTGGATTGTTTCGGCGGTGACGCAATCGCTTTGCATATATATAGCGTGAAAATGAATCTATGGACAGTTTTTGTGCCTCAAGGGCTGTATAGAACTTTCAGTTGCCATGACTTCTTTCGTGAGGCAATTGCAGGCCACTGATAAATTTCTTGGCCAAATTGCGTGTTTGTCAACTGCTGCAGATGTGCAGCGGCAAAGGGTGAAGATCTTGGTTGACATCATTCCGCATCGGGGCCCATGGACTTCTGATGCATGCTCTTTTGCTTGTGAAGCGGTCAACTCCTGCCAGAATCTCACGAAGGAGAACAAGGAGGCCTTGCTTCAGAGCATTATTTGTCAGCGTGTTGACGATGAGATCGAAGCCGGCAGCAGGGTCAAGTTGCAAGATTACACCAATGTTGTGAACATGCTGCCTCAAGACCTTTCAGGCCTTTTGATGGAAGAGACCATGCCCATCGAGGACAAACTGCTTCGTCTTTGCCACCATTGTCACTCACTAGGATTACTTTATCCTTCCGAGAAGACATGCTCAGTGTTGACCTGCTTGGTCTATTGGTGTCACTGGCAGCATTGCATGCCAGATGTGAAACACAAGAACTGGTACTTGAACCAGACCAAGCCTATGATCAAGCAGTACCTCCAGCATTGCCAAAATATATCTTCTTTGTCACCAGAGAGGCAGCTTCGTCTCTTGCCCATGAAAGTGGATGACTTGCCCATGCATTCCAAGCAATTGATTGAGCAATGCGGGCCGCTTGTTGCAGTCAGTCTGCATTGCAAAACGACCTGCGAAGACATGCCGACCAGAGTGACCAAAAGGGGGGTAAGGTTCAATACCTGCTTAGTGAAACCATTGCCTCCACCACGCGGGAATTCCGTACAAGCCCAGCACGCTTTGGCATTGGACATGGATGCGGCATTGAATGTTGAAGCGGCGGTGACCCGGCCAGCTGCTCTGCTTGACAAGGAGAAAGGTGCTCTCGAGAAAGAGGTGACCATGGCATCTGATCCGCTGCCACTGAAGGATAGGATTTCAGCTCAGTTGGTGCAAGAGCAGAAAAGCTTGGTTGGACGCTGCCCGAATCTTGTTATGTCAAAACCAAAGAATGGGAAAGCGAGTGTTTTCGAAACTTTAGCCAACCTGAAGTTGAAGCTGCAATCCAAGAAGGAAGGAACAGAGATTCCTAAGCCTGAGCAAGAGAAGATCCCTCAGAAGCCTGCACATGTTGCCAAGGCCAAGCCAGGGCCGAAGGCAAGTTCGAAGAAAGCGAAACAGATGGAAACATCTGATGAGCCTGTGGAAAAGCACACCACCGAGAAGTCCCGTTCAAAGAAAGCAGCCATCTCAAAAAAAGTGGAAGAGCAGGAGTTGCAACCTGTTGTCGTCGATCTGAAGCACAAGAATGACAAATTGGCACCGAAGAAATCTGCCAAGCAGAAGTCTCCCAATAAGGTGGCCAAGCCTTCTCCCAAGAAGAAAGTGCAGAAGCGTAGAGAGCCGAAGCCTTTGCCCGAATGGTGGAATTGCAAAGACAAGCTTCTCGCCAGGTTTCCGCAGGACACACCAAAGCGCTTTTCTTCTCGATGTTACCACCACATCGTGCAAAATGAGGTCTTGAAGGGTGTCATGCACGAGATGGCGAAGCTTGCAGGGCAAAGAGCCCACGCGGAAGCACTTATTCGTTGGAGCAAGATGTTTCCAGCGTAGGTGCTGTGCTGCTGTTGCAACAGCTCTGGGAAAACATGATGGCTGAATTTGTATATGTTTGCGTTTTGTGAAACGTAGGTTGCAATTCGTCGATGAGGTTTTAAACCTCATGCATGATGTCGCATTTTGCATGCGGTGAAAACCTTGCGATATTCATCTTCGAAGCGGTTTCAACCGCTGACAGAACACGGAAGCGGTCTCATCCGCTGAGTTGCATGGGAGCGGTGTCAACCGCTGACTGAACATGGAAGTGGTCTCAACCGCTGAGTTGCATGGGAGCGGTTTCAACCGCTGACTGAACATGGAAGTGGTCTCAACCGCTGAGTTGCATGGGAGCGGTTTCAACCGCTGACTGAACGTGGAAGTGGTCTCAAGAAGGGGAGTTGCAGGGGAGCGGTTTCAACAGCTGGACTCAACATGGAAGCGGTATATCAACCGCTGCGTTGCATGGTTGCGGTGTCAACCGCTCACTGCACATCATGGAAGCGGTCTCAACCGCTGAGTTGCATGCAATTGCTGACTGGACACGGAAGCGGTTTCAACCGCTTAGTATACCGCTGAGTTGATCTCTTTTTGGGGAGCGGATCAGCCGCTGTATAAATTTTCCAAATCTGATCGTATATTCCTCTGCAGACTTTTGGGGGCAGCCAAGAACTCAGAGAGATAAGAAAAGACGGAAGCCATGGCAGCTAATGGACAAGTCTTTCAAGATGCGCAGAGTCAGGAGGAGACCCAGGTCTATGACAGTGACCCGATGGATGTCGAAAAGGTAAATGAGGAGGAAGTGCCGCTGACGCAGGCTGATGGTGCAAATGATGAGCCTGAGGAGGAGACGCAGAACCATGACTCTGTTGTGCAGGTTCCTGCAAGCGAAGCTGAGGAGGTTTGTGCGAGCCCGGCTAAGGAGAACGAACCCGAAGCCTCGAAGCAGCTGGTGCAGCCAGACCCCTCGCGAGGCTTCAGGCCACTTCCTGCAGGGGCAGCATCGGTGGAGGGCATTGGTTGGAAGGACCTTCGCGAGATGGGCCAAGGTGCCGACCAGTACTGCAGCACTTGCAGAGCTCATGTGGACCCTGCTCCAGAGAAGCGGGTTTTCAAGAAGGGCCACCACCAGTGGCAATGCAGGACGTGCCACAACGTGACCACTTTGCTGTACAAGAGGATGGATATGAAAAATCTCCAAGGATGGAAGGACCTCAGCGAAGCTCAGGTGCAGCGCTTCTACCAGGAAGCTGGGAAATGTCTTGCCTTGGGGCAGCGGTCATGCTTTGGTAAGATCCAGGGCTGCCTCATCGACAGCGTCACCCAAAGCGAAGTGCACCGTCAAGAAACCAATGTCAAAGGAGAATTTCTCCCATTGAGTGTGTGGGCGTCCAAAGGTTACAACACAGAGGCCATAGAGGCCAAAGCTGAGAAGCGCAAGAGCGACATGTTTGGATGGGTCTACCGCGTCAATGTGCTGTCAATTAACTACTCCCATATTGAAGAAGAGTGTCGCCAGCGTGTGCTGCAAGCGACCCGCAAAGTGGGACGCTTCTTGTCTTTATATACATATATATATATAATTATATATATTATATATATATAATTATATATATAGCAGCGGTTTCAACCGCTTTAATTTGTTTTCGTATACCGCTATATACATTGAAGCGGTATCAACCACTGAGTTGCATGGAAGCGGTTTTATAATCGCTCACTGAACATGGAATGGGTTTCAAACGCTGAGTTCGCTGACTGAACATGGAAGCGGTGCAATGTCTAAACCGCTATATGTCGTTTGCCACTGTCAACCGCTTGGGTTCTGAACTGGAGGGCATAAATATATCCATCTCAGGACAGTCGAAACCCGCTGGCAAGGCCAAGGGCAAAGGCAAGAACATTGCGGATGGTGCAGCTGCTGCCGGCAATGGAGAGCAGAGCGGTGCCACACCGCAGGCCCTCGAGGACGTGATGATGATCGATTCGGACTGGGATTCCATTTCCAGTTCCGGTGAGCAGCCTGCTCGCCGTGGGGGAGGAAGCAAGGCCAAGCCTTCCAAGTCCAAGGCTGCTAAGCCGAAGGTGAAGGTGACGGCCGAAGAGAAGAAGGAAGCTCGCACGGCCAACAACCCTCACCTTGGCAATGCGAGGAAGGCTTTGCGTCTCTTGGAGCCGGTCATCAAGGACTGCAAGTCGATCCTCAAGTGCACCAGCTGTCCCGAGGATTTGAAGGAGGAGCTGCAAGCTGCTCAGCAGATCGTCAAAGATGCCACCAAGTTCAAGTCTGCTGCACAGGTCGCTGGCCAGCAGGGCAAAGTCCTGGATCCCTGAACCTATGAGAATGAGACCTGCAAGGAGCTAGCCAAGAACATCAAGAGCAAGACGGAGAGCACTCGCAGTATGGATCAGCTTCTCAGCAAGATGGATGACACTGCCTTGGCGAATCTGAAGAAGGCGGCCGAGGAACGCCTGTCAGCAACTGACGTGGAATAGGTCTTAGATCTTTCTTGCTTTTGTTTAATTAGCAGCTTTGGTGTTTTTTGACACCGGCTGCACATGTGCATCATAGATGCTTCAAGACCGGTGGGGTCTAGACCGGCAGATCGTCAAGCTGTTGACTCCGCTGTGTGCTGTGAAAAACCTGAGAAACACCACTTGGCGGCGGTGCAACCGCGATACAACTTTCCTGCATGGTAGCGGTCTCAACCGCTTAGTATATATGGGAGCGGTTTCAACCGCTGACTGCAGTTCCTTATACATGGTAGCGGTCTGAGCCGCTCAGTTACGTGGGGCGGCATCAGTCGCTGACGAAACACTTTTCTATACATGGTAGCGGTCTCAACCGCTGAGTTGCATGGGAGCGGCATCAGCCGCTGACTAAACACTTTCCTATACATGGAAGCGGTCTCAACCGCTGAGTTTCATGGGAGCGGCATCAGCCGCTGACTGTCCTTATACATGGTAGCGGTCTCAACCGCTGAGTTGCATGGGAGCGGCATCAGCCGCTGTGTCAACAATATTTTTTAGAGGAAACAAACTGACTAAAAAACATAAACTGAAATTTTGTTTAGTGTACCGCTTTTCAAAACAAGTTTTGCTTTGCATTTGATACAAGGAAGCGGTATTAATCGCTGAGTTTCCCTGTTTGTCTGATCTGTCTACTGCGTTTGGGAACTGCCGTTAAAGAACTCAATATAGATATATGAGATTATAATTTATAAATATGTCGACATGTTTAGGCTCAACATGAGCAATGCAACCAATGTTTTCATGGAAAGGTGACTGAAAAAGAAACTATATGTTGTAGATCCCTGAGCATGCCACACAGTCAGGGTGAAATGTCCACTTCACTTTACAAATAAACGGGGAGTGAACAACAAGATTGCCTCAATGCTTTCAGGCATGGCATGGTTTTTCAACCAGAAGTCTACATATCTTTAAAAAAAACATCACAACACCTCTGCCCAACGGCGCCATGGAACCAAGGGAGCCGGGTGATCCAGCTGACGGGAGTGAGACAGAGAAGTCTCTTGCAGCATTATTTTTTTTTACTTTGTCCTGGAGAAATGGTTTAGCATTGAAGAGCGGTTGTCACCGCTACATTGAAGCGGTTGTCACCGCTCCATTGAAACCTATAAACCGCCATCCACAAACATATATCCAGAGTTTTGTGATGCCCTTACCCAAGTATTTAAAAAAACAATTTACAAACCCTAAATGTATTTGATTTCATCTTGGGCATTTTTTTCCGTGCTCTTCGCTATGAAGTGCAAACCGTAGTGACAAACTGAAATGCATTACATGCTGAAAAAAACATAATTCTCGTAGATCTCAGTGCTGTTGGGTTTTAATTGGAATGCATTTCAGATTGAACACAAGAAGAAACATATTCATTGAAGTCTCATAGATCTCAGTGCTGTCAGCCTTAAATTGAAATGCACTTCAAATTGAACAATGCGATGCAACGCAATGCAATGCAATGCAATGCAAAGCAATCTCAGACTAAACACAAGAAAAAAAATCATTGAACTCTCATAGATCTCAGTGCTGTCAGCTTTAAATTAAAACGCGCTTCAGACAGAACAATGTAATGCAATGCAACGCAAGGCAATGCAAAGCAATCTTGATATTGACATTGAAAAAAAAACTTTAATTGCACCATCATGTGAAAACAAAATCCCTGATCCAAACCTGTAAAGGCGTTTGTGCTATACTGGTGGTATGCCGTATACCATGGTATACTGGCCGTATACCATGGTATACTGGCCGTACCAGTATACCCACTGGTGGTATACTGGTGGTATACTGGTGGTATACCGGTGGTATACTGGTGGTATACTTGTTTAGTTTTTTTTTCATCAACTGCATTTTTTCCCTATGCATCTTTAGATTTATCAGACTCTGACTTCAAAATTAATTTGGCAAACTTGCGGTTTTAACAGTTTAAAAACAGTTGGCACATTCCCTCATTTGTAGTTGAGGTGATCTGTCAAGTTTAGAAACCTAATCTATGAGAACCTGATTGAATCCAAAAGTTTTTGCCATATAATTTTGCAAGGCATTAGTTTGTGAAGCCTGCTGGACTTCAACTCTGTTTGAACTTTGCAAGTCGTCCGGTTGGGACTTACTTCGAAAGGATGAGATTGCCCAAAATCATTGACTTACAGATCTCAATGAATTCACAGTCCTGACAACATGACTTAAAAAATACAACGTCAAAAAATAGTAGCATTGTAAACTCAACTATTTCATCAGACTATTCTTACATGCAGCTTTCACCATCTCTGCAATCACAAACAATCTCAATAGATTGAAACTTGAAAACATCTAAAGAAAAAATACGACGTCAAGATATCCAAAAACCTGTGAAATTGCAAAACACAATCCCATTGGCAATTCATGGCTATAGGAAAAAAAACACACTCAAAAGTCAGCCCAACACTGGCACAGAAGCAAAAACATGTAGCGGTTTCAACCGCTCCATGGCTGATAGGGGTATGCATGCTCCACGAAGTGTAGCGGTTTCGACCTCTCCAAATGGCATTCTACCACTTGTAGCGGTTTAAACCGCTTCAATCAGTGTATAGTGAAATAACATATGATGTAAATAACTATAGATAAACATTTCTGTTAAATATATTTTTGGCAGATGTACACATTAACAAGGTCATGTGCTCCTGACCAAGAACAACATTGGGAAGAGGTGAAGCTGGAGGAGGAGGAGATGAAGGTGGAACAGTATGATGATGAGGAGTACGACCCTTGGGATGAATCCTGGTGGCACGACACCGAAGAGGAGGTGGCAGAAGAGCCTGCAATCGACATCGAAGAGGAGGTGGCAGAAGAGCCTGCAGTAGACATCGAAGAGGAGGTGGCAGAAGAGCCTGCAGTATACCAGGCGTGATCTATAGGCGTTTCGAACATACATCATTCAAAACTAAACATGGCTATATGTATATATTCCTGTAGTGGGCATGCTCACGCAGTACATTCGCGTCTTCAAAAAAATGTAATATAGATCTTTAACGGCAGGTCCCAGCGTTTGCAACAACCGCAACAAAACAACACAACACAACAACGACAACAACAACAACAACAACAGCAACAAAGGGGACAGCATCACATACAGTATGTAGAAAGCAGAGAAAATTCACTCCTCAATTTTGAACATGGATCCTGAGGGTTATTTTATTTCGCAATTCTTCTCTTTCAAGCTAGCAAACACAACCACCAGCATGACGCCAAAAGGATTTAAGAATTAGCGATCCCCAGGTCAAACACATTGTAGCGGTTGCAACCGCTTGGTGCGCTGCTTTCCCTTGGAGCGGTCTTCATGATGCTATGTAGATTGAAGCGGTTTCAACCGCTGAGTTGCATGGAAGCGGTGTCAACCGCTCACTACACATCATGGAAGCGGTGTCAAATGCTCATTATATATATATGGAAGTGGTTTCAACCGCTGATCACGACCGAACATGGAAGCGGTCTCGACCGCTCACTTTCATGGGAGCGGTTTCAACCGCTGACTACACATTGAAGCGGTCTCGGCCGCTGAGTTGCATGGAAGCGGTTTCAACCGCTAAAGGAGCATTGGAGCGGTAACCCGCTATAGACATATATATCCTTGCAGGGGACCTCGAAGGCTGCCAGCAAAGCTGTCCCAGTGGAGAACATATCCTTGCAGGCGACCACCTCGAAGGCGGGTATGAAAGCTGTCCCAGTGTCAGTGGTGCCTAGCTGGACGGTTCCGCCACCGTGGGCCGGGGCCGATTCGTCGAGCTCTTCGGGCGTCCCAGCTCATCGACGAGGACGTGGAAGAGAAGATGACCATGGAGGACATTCCCATGCAGACGGAGACGGTGGGGGACATGGAGACGGAGGGGATCGAGGAGTTCCGGGAGATGGGGGAGATGGAGATGGAAGGGATGGAGGAGATCCCCGTGATGGGGGAGATGCATCTGGAGATGCCGGAGGTGACGGAGTTGGAGATGGAGGAGCAGATGCAGGGGCCGCCTCTCGCCCATGGAGAGGAAAGGAAGGCTCCTCAAGGCAGCAGTGGGCGAACCAGCGCGGTAGATGGCGCAAGAAGCGTGGAGGTCTGAACAGAGGCTGGTATGAAGCCCACTATTGGCAAGACCATGGCCCTGAGCACTCATGGTATAGCCGCCCGGAGAACCGTGGCTGAGGTGTTGGTGCTGAAAAAGCGCTGCTGCTTCATTGTAGCGGTGTCAACCGCTGACTGAACATGGAAGCGGTCTCAACCGCTGAGTTGCATGGGAGCGGTGATATCATATAACCGCTGACTGAACATGGAAGCGGTCTGAACCGCTGAGTTGCATGGGAGCGATGATATCATATAACTGCTGACTGAACATGGAAGCGGTCTCAACCGCTGAGTTGCATGGGAGCGGTGTTATCATATAACCGCTGACTGAACATGGAAGCGGTCTCAACCGCTGAGTTGCATGGTAGCGGTTTCAACCGCTGACTGCAGATGGAAGCTGTCTCAACCGCTGAGTTCCATGGAAGCGGTCTCAACCGCTGACTCAACATGGAAGCGGTGTCAACCGCTGATTTGCATGGAAGCGGCATTAGCCGCTTGGTGAAGACTTGCCTGCATGGAAGCGGTGTCAACCGCTGCAGTGTCATATTTGGGAGCGGTGCGAAGCGTTAAATAAACAATTTCCTGCTTGGAAGCGGTCTCAACCGCTGTCTGTAAATTTAAGTATATACTCATAGTGTTCCATAGAAAGGTCTGGGTGCGAAGCGGTTTCAACCGCTTATATTTGATGAACTCAATAAATTCTTTGCTCTTCGAAGCGGCTGAGCAACTGAAGCCCGTGATATTTTCCACCTAGCCATGTCGATGGAGTATTGCGTGGTTGTTGATGAGAGGCTAGAGGATTTTGACCCCGAGGGAAAGAGCTTCCAGCGCCTGGGCAACTCTCAGACGGCCAAGATAAGCTTCGGCGGCAAATCCATTGTTCTGACCA